TTGAAGTTTCTTAAAAAGTTATAAATTGTTTTAATGTCAATATTTCATTTTAGAAAACTGACTGACCAAGTTTAAGAAAAAATATTTACTATAAATTATCTTAGCTTAGTTTTATAATTAAAAAAGATGTATGATAAATAAATGTAAACTATTAAAAAAATTAAGAAACCTCTATCAGGAAGTTTATAAAATATACCTGATAACCTTAGAACATTTATTAGGCCTGATTTACACTATTAAATAAAAGTTCAAAAACATTTTATGTTTGTAATATGTATTTTAAAGGATGGGAAGATTGTTTAGTTAATTTTGAAGTGTCAATAAAAAAATATTCAAACACAATATACCCAATTTTATGATCATCAGACAAACACTGGCATTAAAAGAAAAAAAAAACTATTTTGCAAGAATATTTAATATTTGATCACTGGATAGTAAGTTCTTATAAATCTGAATTTCCATCTGTAATTTGAAATACAGATCAAAGCCAATTTTCTTGTTTTTATGGCTAATGTTGGCATCATTTTATTGCTAAAAATTAATTCCTTTGTAATTAGCAACCCTTACTTCTCAGTCAATACCATCACTATAGAAAACTTAAAAACAGTCAGTTTAATATATTAACACAAATATTGATTTAAAGTCTAAGAAAGAAGAGAACTAATAAACATAACAACTGCAGACTGTGATTTAAAAGGACAGTACAAAAAGTGTTTTTGGGTAAGAATATTTAGTGGTTTGCTGTTACAAAAATTGTACACATGACACTAAGAGTAACTCAATAGGCATATAGATCCTAATGTGTGTGTGTGTGTGTTTGTTTATATATATAGATTCAAATTCTAGCTTAGAGCTAGTCATAGGAGATTAATTGTTGTTTGCCTAATCCTATCACCTTGAAACTCGGGCTGTAAAATGATACGTTGAAAATTTTCTCTTAGAAACAGTTGAATTCTGGCAACAGTGTTTTCCATTGCTTTTTTTCTGTACAAAAAAACTTCACACTATTCATTAGGAGTATCAATAACATTTATTTAATTTCTATCAAATATTCATATACATTTTTTGAAAGTGAAAACTGATAACAAATAAAAAGAAAAAAAATTAATTTTTTTTATTAATGTGTAAATAGTTGAAGTTTATTTACAGTTACCTTTGGTTAGTGATTTATTTTCCCAAAATCTTGAGTTGCCTTGACTTGATTTATGTACCATTTCAATCTGACTTCTTCTCATTCACTAGAAAAAAATAAATTTCCAAAACAGACTCTTACCAAAAATTCTAAAAAGATCTTAAACTAAAACCTTACTAATGTTTGCATTCAGACGACCTTCAATATTGAGCTTTGAAATTTATTACAAAATAAAAAAATTATTACACTAATATCAAAATAATGCAACTAGAAATGTTTTGTATACTGTAATGAAAACTAATTGATTGGATTAAAACAAATAATTAAGACTTGTAGCAGTATTTCATGTAAATTTCTTGTAATGAACCTTAAACCTTGTTTGCACACTGTAAAACTTTCTTAAAACTAGGAATTATTAAATGTTACTACTAAAAATTATCTTAGTATTACGTAAAAACTCCTTGAAATTAAAAGAAATGTTAGAAGGAAGTGCGACTTTTTTCCACATTCTATAGAAACTCTTTGAAATTAAAAGATGTGATGTTAGATTTGAAACTTTTGTTCAGACTTTGTAGAAATGTCTTTATATAAATCAGTTAATGATAGTTAAAACTTGTATCAATATTTTAAGATATTTATTGAAGCTAAAACAGTAATGTTAGGATTACAACTTATCACAATTTTTTGTTGGAATTGTTGAAACAAGACAGGATTATGAAATTTATCAATATTACACAAGTGTTGCAAAATTAACCAAAAATGTCAAAAATAACTGGTAGAACTGAATCATATGTCAATAAAGTTAATTGAAAAAGTTATGCCAGAACTAAGGGTAATGCCAAAGATGTGTTGGTGCTGCTGCAAACAAGTCTGAATAGTATGAGGATTAAAATTTGTAACACAAAATAAGTATCGATGTCAGGTGAAATAAAAATGTATGTTGCATATGTATATATAAACAGTAAAATTACAGACAATTAACAATGTTTTAACAAAACACATTGCAATTATTTAACTTGTATTACAGATATGATACATATTGCAGAAACATTTTAATGAACTAAATAAAGAACCAATAAAATTTTATATGTGAAAAATTAAAATTATGTATAAAATAACAGCAATCGGTAAGAAAAATAATGTACACTGGAAAAGTGGCCAATGAATATAAATTATCTTTTTCAGTATGTAAAGGAGTTACTATTTTGAGTTCATGTTGCATTACTGCAACTACATGAATGCTAATAACATCCAGTTTTTATGTTAGTAAGCAGTATTCCATGTTATATACACAATAAACAATTACTCATTTTACTAATTTACATAAACTGGCATTATGTTAAAAACAATTACATATCTTGCATAACCTAATGACTAAGTATACTCATAAAATCACATACTTGCATTATTTGGCTTAAGACAGGTACCAAATTGATTAATAAATGCAAAATTACATAAGTGGTTTTCACAATTCTTCTTAACTTCACTTCTACTAATGTTTTAAAAAATCATTAGTAACAGGGTTCTACATTTAAATTTTTAGCTACTGGCCTCTTGGGCTGCTGAGTTAGTGTTTTTATGTGGCCCAATAGTCTATCACACACACACACACACACATGTATGTATGTATATATAACAACACTTAGTCTGGGAAACTGACGCAGATCATGCCATTTTTTTTCAGCCATTTTCAAGTCAGGTGAGACTTCCACTCCACTCTTAATTTATTGTCTTCTGTTTTTATCAATATCCTTGTTTATTTCAGCACTTTCTTGATGGATTGTTGTTGCTTGGACACTGAAAATCTGAAGTTTAAAAGATTAGCCACATTGAAGAAAGGAACCTCACTTGCATCGTATCACTGCACAGGACCACATTATCATTGTACAAATATGATGAGTGGCTGAAAAGTTTGGGTCACTTCATTCCCAGGGAATGGGGGAGAGAAGCTTAAAAAAAAAAAGTGGAAAGTGTTTTTTTTTCCCCCTTTAGCATTTTCGGACACTGGCTCATTAATACCAGGTTGATAAATGGTAGTTGTATGTACACACTACTAGTTCAAAAAAGTAACTGGCCCAGTCAGGCCTGTAATGCTATGCTGCTTCAGGTCAAAGTGCAATTTGTAAAAGCCACAGGATTGTGGGACTTGGTAAATAGGGAACTATGATCAAATAAATCAAAGCCTTAAATTATCCATCTTGATATTACTAATAATAATAATTAAAGACTTTAGGATATTTTACATTTAATACTATATTCTTAATTAATCATAAATGAACAGTTAATCTTAGGCTAAAGAATAAATAACAACAGTGGTTTTACACACACACACTAATTATACGAGATTTCATTACTTTTATATTCCTGATGTAAATTATATTACCAAAGATGGAATAGCACACCCTTAGTAATGGGCCTGTTTCCCCAATCAACTAGTACATAGCACAATAAATGTGAGAAACTTCCATGGACAGCTAAAGGGTGTAAGGAAGATTATTGGATGTAGCAACATATTTCAGCCAACCTTTTCATAATTAAACAGACTGGGGGGACTGGATACTAAAAAATGAGAGAGCAGTGAATGAGTCAATGAAGAATATTGCCAAACTACCCAAAAGTACTCTTTTCCCCAGTCCACCTGAACTGTGAAATGTGTTGTGGAATGAAACTGCAAATATATAACAGATTTTTATTAAGCGTTCATGAGTGCACAACATACATTCATCGTAGACAGAGAATTCCACATAGGTGGATTTTAGTGATGGGTGACAATCCGTAAGTTGTTTATCACAGCATATGCTTTCCTGGTGCCTTGAACTCAAAATCAGGTGAAAAACAATAAAAAAAAAACATCTTGTGGAGTGTTGGGTCTTGGTACTCATTGTTTTCTTTGCAAGAGGAATGGCAGTTTATCTACCAGATGTACACCAACAGTTAGTAACAAACATTAGAACAGAGTCCAGGACTGATGCCAAAAAGATACCACTTTATAGCAAAGGAACAAAATATTTTTCTCAATGTATGCTGTCCCAAACTTAATAATACAGTGTATCTGCATATATACAAATATGTATTTCTTTTACAATTTCTGATGAACTTATATTTAAAAGTTCTTATTATCTCAAAAACCCTTTCACTAGTTTTCTTCATAGACATTACCAAATTAAAGAATTTCCTCAAACACAAGATATGCAAGTTAATTTCCTTCCAAGCAAATATTTTGTTTAAAAAGAAACTGACTAACAATAAATGATTACCAACATATTTTCTTAGCAAAGTTCATAGTAATACACAAAAAAAGCACTTCAATTTCCACAAATAATATAACTGATAGGGTAACTGATGTAACCTTGAATAAATGTCAGTAAGAAAGAAAAATACAACTAACGATTGTGATTATTTGGGTTTAATTTTCCTAACTGTTTTACATGATATTCACACTTTAAAAATTTTTTAGTTTTCTCCAATACTTGTATACACAGCTATTGATGCATAAATGCCAGGTCATCTATAAGAAGCAAGTCATTATTACACGCTTAGTTTATTATTTACTATAACTCAATTTACACAACTGGTCACTTTATTAGGACCCAATACACATTTGTAGAACACTTTCATGTGTAAAATAGATCATCATGTTCAAGCCCTATAAATGTAGTCATTTGATGGTTCATTTAGACAATAACAAGTATGAACAAAGGTTTCTTCAACTTTAAAACCATACTCCTCAATGAACAGGCTAAAACTGAACAAACCCTTATCTGACATTTTGAGGAGACTATATCATGCTGAACCCAGGCTGTTATTGAAGTAAAAAAGGAAAAGATGGTCCAACCAAATAGTGGAAGGTTCTGATAAAGTGGCCAATCAGTGTAATTTCCATATAAATAAAATGTTAAGAAAGAATAGTTTGCATAGTTCTTAGGAAACGGGGCAAGAAAAATGTCACAGAAAGGAATTCACATTTCTTTATCTGTTAATCCGTCTTCCTGATTCTATTCAGGTGTCAGAGTTAAAATAACCTTACCAGACGACATCAACAAAGAGTTGATGTATTCTTGAACTCCATTAATTCCTAAACGGCTGCATTCTTCAAAAGCTTGGTTTGCATGAGTAACATGTTCTTGGGACAGCTCATACAGAATAAACTATTGGTAGAAAGGTTCATGTGGTTAAAAGATTCATACATAAGATAATATTATTAGTATCGGTCTTTGTAAAATGATACTGAAGGAGTAAAAATACAGCCATTCTCATATTCACTGTCTGATTATTATATTGGAGAAGCAACTGGTATTACTGTTACAGAATTTTTAACTAAAATAAAATCTCCAACATACACACATAGCTTTTAATTTCTGCCAACAATATTGAATAGACATTAAAGCTGTTCATGATAGACAATCTAAAACATTCCAATTCAGGTGAATACAAAAGTATTCACAAAGATACCTATCTCCTTTTTCCCACTTACCATACCTACATAAATGCTAGAAACAGAATATATACCATTCAAGACCTTACACACATCACATTCAAACAAGAATAAGCTAAATATTTTTTCATCTTTATACTGCAAAGAAACAAATTATATATTCTATCTTCTATGTTCCATACAAAACTTTTATACATTCAACATTCATCTGCTGTTAGTTTCCCTTACTGAAACTGAAGTGCAAGTTCGAAAAATTCAGATATTGTATGCACTCAACAGATTCTTTATGAGCTAACATTATGCTTAGAACCAAAGTTATGTTTAATAATTGACTTGATTTTATAAGGTTTAAAAACTAATTTGCAACTATATTGGCATCACTTTAAATGGTAATGTCAATGCAAAATGCATTGGTTACATTTGCAAAGTTAGTTGTTTGATGGATAAGTAACTTATTTTCACATCATCTAATATATCAGCATCTTGAACAAGTTACAGCTGAATTTGTACTTACACACAAAGGTTACTGTTTTGAGTATCAATAGTTATAATTACAGAAGAAGCAAAACAAATTTATTATTAACAAAATATTGAGACCTACTTTTACTTTTTTAACTATATCAAAGGTGTTTATCTATTAAACAGAATCTGTTTCATGTAAAAATGAAGTTGATAAGTAGGCCATGCATGCTATATTTCCCAATGCTCAAGATATAACTATGAAATATTCTGAGCCTGAAAAATGGCATGGGATTATATAAAAGATTACCCTGTTTAACTTTCTGATATTTTATTTACAAGAATAAAATCAGAGCTACAAACCTCTTTCCACAAAGAAGCACTATATGGCAAAACTTGAACTGCTTGATGATAAAGCTGATGGACCTGTAACCACAAGTAAACAAAAAAAAAATAAAAAAAAATAATGTAATACAACTAGTTCTTCCTTACACAAAAATCTCTGTAAGTAAACACTTTTCACAAATTACTACTACACACTAACAAGTAAAGAGAGCAGATTTAAACCTAAAAAGATTTAAATTTATTTAACATTTTTACTGATATTTTGAAAGTATAGCTAATCCTCCGAGGATATATTACAGTTCTTTTGGATGTACCAGTTCTAAATAGTCTTTAAATTAGTATTTTCTTCAAAATAAAATTACAATAAAAGGTTATACAAACATACTGAAAACATACAACAAATCTCAATAGTGACTTCAAACATGGAATCCCTTATTCAGTCTAGTGCACTAACCTTGAGACCACTTCCCACATTACGAACAACACATGTTTATGTTGGACGATTAAAAATACTTCTAAGATTCCTGCTGCATGTACATTGTATTAAAGTTGTATAAAACATTCTTACTATTTTGGGGAAAATTTTCAAAAATTATAGAAAAAAAAGCTATTTGTTTATACATATTTGTATTGATTCAACACTTATACAAAATGAACTCCATTTATAGAATATTTGCCTACTATTACTTTGTGTTTTTTAAATAAGTGAGCTTGGTGGTCAGATTATACAGGAGTTTATTTGATGTAAAAAGTTTAAAACTATTTCTTGACGGAGCATAAAAAAACTTGTTTTGGAAATACCAAACATTTTTAACAACTTTTCAATTTGAAAGAAAAGAATTTTTATCAAAATTTCAGAAAACTATTTCTAAAGTAAATTTTATACCAGTACACTATTAAATATTATCCTTACAGTTCAAAACACTACCTTGTATGAAATAAAGTACTCTTAATGTCATCATTTAACATTATTCTTATAGTTTCATTTACTGTTATAACATTTTTGCTTTAGAAATTGTCAGACAATTTTTTTCAATGTCCATTAAGTCACATTCTAGAGGTGACAATCTAGAAACAATGGATTCTACTTTATTTTGTCATGCAGGTTTGGATAAGATATTTTATTTGTATTATTAATATAGCATTATTATGATTACAACAGAGCTTTTTTAATCACACAGGTACAGTGAATATGTAGTGAAACACATACATTTTTTTTTAATTGATGATAAACTGTTAAGGCAAATGTTTTTTGACACATATGATGTCATACTTATGCGCAATCAGTTACCAAAAACAACAGTTTATTGGATCCAGTCATTTGAAACATTATACTAATCACAATATGAGTACCAAAGAGGTTAACAAAGTAGAAATTTAGGAAAAATACCAAGTTACATCCTACAGGGTGGATGTAAGAACTGCTGCAGAAGTTATTCACAGCTACAATGCATTTTCAGAAGAAACCCTCTGCTTAAATTTGGCATATTTTAAGTGGACAGACGGATACAGGCAAGGTTTATTTGGTATTTTCACAGAAAGATGGCGTGTAGCAGCTTTCTAGTAATGTTAAGTCATTTATAGCAACTATCAAGTCACCTCTGCAATCAAAGATTTCAGCAAATTACTTAAAATATTATATGTCTTGTAAATTAAATCTCAAGAGATAATTCCTCAATGCATTTCTTCTCCCAACAGGCATTTAATTAGATACTGGCTCCCATCATGGCAAATGAGGGTGGGAAAGAAAGTTTTTATGATAAAAGTGTTTGGAAAAGAAAACAGAATGTGCAATGCTGAAGTTTATGTGATATTATATAATTCTGACAGCATGTAAATAAAATTTTTTTCAATCAGCCTAAGACTTAAGATTCACTGAAAAATGTTAGTTTCACAGCAAAATTATAAATTGAATTTGAATTTCGCGCAAAGCTACACGAGGGCTATCTGCGCTAGCCATCCCTAATTTAGCAGTGTAAGACTAGAGGGAAAGCAGCTAGTCATCAACACCCACTGACAACTCTTCTACCAACGAATAATGGGATTGACTGTCACATTATAATGCCCCCACGGCTGAAAGGGCGAGCATGTTTGGTGCAATGGGGATTCAAACCCGCAACCCTCAGATTGCGAGTCGAGTGTCCTAACCAACTGGCCATGCCGGGCCCATAAACTGAATTAAAAGATATCCTTCATTTAACACAGTATTTTAGTGCATAATATTTTAATGCTATAAAACTTCTAGTCTTTCAATATAAATTCTATTTTTCAAAATTATTTAGCACAATAGAGAAAATATCCTCATATTTAACACTGAGATTTAAAGATCCCCAAAAAGCATTTTCTGATATTCTACACTGAAATTTTAAGACCTCCTCCTCAAAAAGGAAATAACTGAAATTTGTCAATCTTCCGACACCAGAGGCAATGTTATCGAAGTCAAGTATTATTTTGGAACACTTCATAACCTCACAGAGAGTACCTTGTATGTTTTCATACTGTAAAAACATGGAGAGAATAGCTTTTACAGGTATCCCACAATTCTCTCTAGAAACTTTATAAAGTATTTGACACATTCCCAAAAGGCCAAGAGAGACTGAAACAATAAGAAACTCTCAGCAGGATCATCAGTTACTTTCTTGTTTTATTATTTTCATATAAAGCTAAACACGATAGATCATGGAGGAGAGGCAGATGGTTAAAAGCAGCTCCTTGAGGCCTCTGAAGCTCCTAGATTTTGAGCATCTTGTATTAGAAAAATGGTACAATGTCACTTTCAAATTCCTATAACTACTAATGAAATTGTTTTTGTTATGTACTTCAGT